TGTGTGAGTGTGAGAGAGTATGTGTGTGAGAGTGTGAGAGTATGTGTGAGAGTGTGTGAGTGTTTGTGTGAGTGTGAGAGAGTATGTGTGTGAGAGTGTGTGTGAGAGTGTGTGTGTGAGTGTGAGTGAGAGAGTATGTGTGTGAGTGTGTGTGTGAGTGAGAGAGTATGTGTGTGAGTGAGAGTATCGTGTGAGTGTGTGTGTGAGTGTGTGAGAGTGTGTGTGAGTGTGAGAGAGAGTGTGTGAGAGTTTGTGAGAGTATGTGTGAGAGTGTGTGTTTGTGTGAGTGTGAGTGAGAGTATGTGTGTGAGAGTGTGTGTGAGTTTGTGTGAGTGTGAGAGAGTATGTGTGTGTGTGTGAGAGTGTGTGTGAGTGTGTGTGAGAGTATGTGTGTGAGAGAGAGTGTGAGAGAGTATGTGTGAGTGTGTGTGAGTGTGTGTGTGAGAGAGAGAATATGTGTGTGAGAGTGTGTGTGTGTGCAAGTGTGAGGGAGAGTATGTGTGTGTGAGAGTATGTGTGTGAGTGTGTGTGAGAGAGTGTGTGTGAGTGTGTGTGAGTGTGTGCGATAATGTGTGTGAGAGTGTGTGTAAGAGAGTGTGGGTGTGAGATAGTGTGTGAGAGTGTGTGTGTGAGAGAGTATGTGTGTGAGAGAGTGTGTGTAAGTGTGTGTGAGAGTTGTGAGTGTGTGTGAGAGAGTGTGTGTGTGTGAGAGAGTGTGTGTGTTAGTGTGTGTGAGAGAGAGTATGTGTGTGTGAGAGGGTGTGTGTATGAGAGAAAGAGTGTGCGTGTGTGTGTGAGCGTGTGTATGCTGGAGGGTCATCCCAATCTCCACAGAAACTCCCCGAGGGCCCGGCAGCCCCGACCCTTGCAGTGCACCTCTGCAAGAACCGACTCTCCCGTGGTAAGCTGGCTGTTATTAACTCAGGTCTGAGTGTCACTTCACACTTTCAAATACTTGTCCGACTCGTTCTCAGTATCTCCATTTGAAGATGCGGAAATGGAGGCTGAGCTCCTGCGACTTCCCTCAGGCCAGCCAGTGAGGAGAGCAGAGCAGAGACTCAGGCGTTCTGAGCCCCGCACAGCCCTTCCTCGGACTCCCTTCCCTGCAAGGGCAAAGCCTGTGGATGCAACCAGCCAGGCCACGTGAGCTGGTGAGCCCAGGACTGGACAGGGCCAGAGTGGCCAAGAGCTGGTGAGCCCAGGACTGGACAGGGCCAGAGTGACCAAGGGGCTTCCCTGTGGAGGAGTGGGAAGGAGGCACCTGCACAAGCCTGAGCTTCCCTGTCTGGGCTGTCCTCACAGAGGGGTTCAGAGTTGAGTCCGACAGGGGAAAGGGGCCTTCAAACATGCCATCTTGGCTCTCCAAGCCCAAAATACAAACTCTATGCCTGGAACCAATGTCATTGTCTATCATTTGCAAATCCACCCCCAGGCCGGAATTTCCCAGATCAAGAAGTCCAACCGCAAGCCCCCACTAGGGCACCACAGGCCCCCACTGGGCCCTCCCTGGGAAAACCACTTCAGTGGGTGGCGTGGTGGTTAAGGCATTGGACTCCCACATGGCCGACTGCAGTTCTAGTCCCAGGCCCAGCAGCTTGAAACATGCCAGATGCACATGTAGGCATGCCCAAAATCCCAGGAAGAGAACAGAGGAGAAGGGACTGTGGCATGGCCATCCCCCCAGGGGGTGATTTCTGTCTCTCTCTCTCTCTCTCTCTCTCTCTCTTTCTCTCTCTCTCTCTCTGTCTTTCTGGAGAGCGAGCACAAACCTCCCCCCAAAAAATAATACAAATTTTTAAAATTAAACAAGGACTAGCATGTGGCCTGGTGGCTAAGGCTGCTAGATCGGACATGGCCGACCCTGTGGTATGAGTCCCAGACCTGGCAGCCTGAGAAACACACCAACATGTATGTATGTGTGCCCAAATTCTGAGAGAGAGAGGAGAAAGGATTGTGGCATGCCCATTTCCCATTGGGGGTGCTTTCCCACTCTTTCTCCCTCTCTCTCTCTCTGTCTTGCTGTCTCTCCAGCAAGTGCACTACCCTCTGGCAAATATGCAAGACAATTGTGCTGGGAAAAGAAATGCTATACACTATAAAGATATATGTGAGTAAATGTAATATAAATTAATAAATAAGAGTACAAGGAACACTGGGGCCACTTGAGGTAGGAGGGCCCCAGTCTTCAGCTGCCCAGGGAGGGAAAAAGAGGGGGTGTCAACCCAGCTGCTCTCCTCGGGCACTCTCCAGCGGTTACCTCTGTGGCAAGGTAGGACCCCCCCATAGCCATGCCACAATGGCCCTGGGGTGTTTAGGCACTTTTCACCCCCTGCTCAGTTACAGGGCCCAAGGCCACCCTGCCTCCCACCTCTTGTCCCCTCAGGCCCATCTGGACAAGCACAAATTCCCTCTTGGCCCTTCCTGCTGCACGAGAGTCTACCCTTGCTCCTTACGGCCTCTTAGTGGAGAGACTCCCCAGCAGACCTCGGGCCCTGACGACAGACTCTCCCTGCAACCCGCTGTCCCTCTACGCTCCAGCCCTGTCATCTCAACCGTCGGTCGCCACTCCAGCAACAGCAGCAGCTGGAAATGGTAGAAATGGCATTTTCAGATCCTATGCTGGACTCAGAGAGTAAGGACTTTGGGGTACGGCCTGTGACCTGTTTGTAATCAGCCCTCCCACTGGTCCTGGTTCATGGTGGGGTTTGGGACCACTGTCCCAGCAACACCAATCTCCCCACTGGCTCTGGCAATGAACACGGGCCCCTTCCAGCCTTTCTGCTGGTTCGTGCTGTCCTCTCTGCATGAGCTTCTGCTGTCCTTCCAATCAAACCAAGACGCCCCCGTACCCAAGGCTCCTCACGAGCCTCTCGCTCTTATAAACAGCTTCTTCAGTACGACAGAGCACCGGGCTTTGCGGGCCCCAGCACCCCATTCGGTGTTTGCAAAGACCCCAGGGAATGAGGCAGCAGAAAACAAAATCGAGCAAGACTTAGTCCTTGACCCTGTGGGGACACCCAGTGGGAGGAATGGCAGTGCTGACATCCTACCATGACAGTTTCCAGCAGCGGCAGGGCCGGGGGCAAGGACAGCAGGGAGACGGCCAAGAAGTGGGGCACCCGCTGCTGTGGCCACCCGCCCGCTCCCCAAGTGCACAGACCCAGCGCTGGGCACCCAGAAGACACTGTGTCACCCTTGAGCCCAAGACCCCTGCAGCCCGTCTCTCATGTAAGGGTCTGGAAGTTGCGGAAGACGCGCTCCTTGGCCAAACCTGAGTCCAGCTCCTCTGAGCCCTCTTCCATACTAGGTCTCAACCTTGGGCTCTGTCCTCGGCCTTCTTAGTCCAATTTTACAAAACGTCCTGCCAGGTCTGCTTGGCAAGCACACGTGTCTAGCAAGTTTCCGATGGACCCCATCCCCCTGCTCTCACCCCACCCCCACACCTTCCCCTCAATGTCTGATTGCCTGGCCTGCTTGGAGCAAGAATCCTGCCAAGATGGCTTAGCTGGAATCCCCCTACCTCTATTATTTCCCGCCCCCCTGACCCACTCGCTCCCTTGCCTCTAACTCCCACGTTTCCTTGTCGTATTCCAAGTCGAGACTTACCTCTCTCCCCGACTGCAGGACTCACATTGCAGTGGCCCCTCTCCTATACAGTCTTCCTTCCGGTTTAGGTGTCATGAAAATGTTTTCCTTAACCATGTAGGTCTGGGGATCATGAGATGGCATAATGGCTATGTCGCTAGACTCCCACTGTCGATCACAGTTCAAGTCCTGGATCCAGTGGCTTAAAATTCACGCCGGGCATGAGTGCCTGTGTGCCCCAAATCCCAGAGGACATTGAAGGAGAAGGGATTGCAGCATGGCCATCCCTCCCAGGGAGTGATTTCTTGCTTTCTATCTCTCTGTCTCTCTGGCAAGCACATATGCCCTATAGCAAAAATCTCTCTAAAAATAAAAAATAAAAAAAGAACGTGGGTCTGTCTATTGCCACCTCAACTCCCCAGGGCTGAAGACCCCACCTTTGCTGGGTTTTGCAGGCTCCTTCCCTCACATGCCCTGCACAGCTGACCAGCTCTTAGAATGTGGCGGTCATCAAACCATAATTCTCCATTGCCATCTACAGCCCCCTCCCGGCCTAGAAAGGGCCCTCTCTCCTTAGTACAAACGAATCTTCCTTCAACCGGAGAGACTTTGGGTCAAAATCTATCCCCTCGTTTTATCCGTCAGGCCTTGGGACAGCTACACCAACCTCGGCTCCTTGGGCCTCGATTCTCTATTTGAAAAGCAAGGAGACTCTACCCACACCTCAGAGCTTCACTGGGGATGCAGAGACAACACAGGGACAGCACCAGCACTTTCCAGAAACACAGGAGAGTCCTAACCAGGTAGAGGCTCAGAAATTGCACAGGCCACCAAGAAAATACCCACAGTGCTTCCCTTCTGCAAGGAGCTTCGCGTATTCCGAAGCACTGACGGTTCTTCACTTCTCATGGTGCTTCGGAGCTCCCAGAGCATTTCCTAGACCCACACGATGGACACAACCACTGGAGAATCACAGAGATCCTCTGCACCCCACCAGGCTCCCATGGGGAGGGACTCAGAAAGAAGCCAAGGGAAGCCACGTGGAAAAGCCATTCTCGCCAAGGTCTCAGGTGATCTGCGAGCTCAGGCACCGCCTTGTCTGGAGGACAGGGATTCACCCCCTGACGCCAGCTGAGCTTAGCTGACCCCTCCTTCAATTTCCTCCTTCCGTGCCAGGACTCACCTACAAGGGAGAAGGAGTGTTTCTGGCAGTCCCCTGCCAGGAGGTAACTGCAGTCTCCAGCAAAGCTGTACATGCTCCCGTCGAAGGTGTTGATGAGGTCACCTCCAAAGAGGCTGCACCGGGCCGTCGACATCCTGCTGCGAATCCCTTCTGTGCAAAGTGTCCCTGAAAGAGAAGCCACGGGGGAGCACACTGGGATTGCCAGCTAAAACTTCTCTGGTCTTGTAGAAATGAAGCTGCTTCTGATAGAAATTGGGCTGTGGGGAGGTCATTTCCATCCTGAGACTACAGCCATTGCTTTTAGAAAATTATTTGCTAAGAACATATATGTGGATGTACTTGATTGAGACAATGCACAGTGTATTTTGGATGGAAAATTCATTTGTGTGTTGTGATGGTGTAAAGTGAATTAATAAATAAAAAAATGCAATAATGCTCAATATCAAAAGGTGGGCGAAAACACAAGAAGTTAAAATCATTTGCAATCCAGCATTCAGCGATAACCAGCATTAGCATTCCCGTGTTTATCTTTCCGTCTTGTTTTACAGCACATAAGAAGTCGTGGATTTCTTACAAATCTCTAATTAGGGCCAACAGGTGGCATGAAGGTTAAGGGCACTGGATCCCACATGGCCAGCTGCATGGTTCAAGTCCCAGGCCAAGCAACTTGAGAATCACACCAAGTGTGTGTATGTGTGTACATGCCCCAAATCCTAAGAGAATGGAGGAGAAGGGATTACAGCATGGGGGTGATGTACCACTTTGTCTCTTGCTAGCTCTCTCCGGCAAACACACATGCCATATAGCAAAGAAAAAGGGGGAAAAATATCTGATCATCCTGTGCACGCTGGAAATGACCTCTGGTTCTTTTCTGATATGTTGTAAAGAATTTGTCGTACCACTGTACATACTTCCAAGTGTGATTTTTTTTTTAAAGTTTTTGCTATAGGGCACATGTGCTTATGAGAAAGAGAGAGAGAGAGACATAAGTCATCCCCTAGGAGGATGGGAGACAGCCACAATTCCTTCTCCTCCATTCTCCTCTCAGGATTCTGGGCACACATGCACACACGCCTGGTGTGTGTTTTTTAAGGCACCAGGTCCTGGACTTGAACTGCACAGACAGTCATGTGGGATCCAACCACCTTAACCACTTTGCCCACCTGGCTGATCCTCAAATGTGATTTTTAGTAGCTTCAGAAATTCCCCAGAGAATGTGTATTACACAAAAACTATGCATGGTGTTCAAATTTTTTTGCACCAAAATGAACTTGTACTTTAATTCCATTTTTCCATGGACATGTTAAAGTCCCTTATATTTTGCATCTGCATCTGTATAATATTGTTAGATTATACAGATTAACCCTATTGTTAGATTCTTAGCATTTTTTACAATCTTCTTAATATAATAGATTGTAATAAACATCTTTCTCCACAAATCTACTAATATATCTGAAGCAGGTTAATTTTATTTTGTACTGGCATGTTTATAATTGTACTTTTTGTTGTTGGAGAGGTTTTTGCTATAGGGCGCATGCACTGGCCAGAAAGACAGAGAGACAGAGAGACAGAAAGCGAGAAATCATCCCCCGCAGGGGGGATGGCCACGCCACAATCTCTTCTCCTCCACTCTCCTCTCAGGATCTTGGGCATGCACGCACATGCGCCCAGTGGAAGTTTTAAGCCACTGGGTCCAGGACTTGAACCATGGTCGACTACATGGGAGTCCAGCAACATAACCATTACTCCATCTGCTGGTCCCTCTTGTAGCTATTTTGAAATATGCTACATATTACCGTTTGATATAGTTACCTCACTGTACAGACATACTCCAATCTATTGGGTGATGGGAAAAGTATCACCCATTTTTGCGTAGAAAAACATAGAAAAATGCACCATGACTTTTCTGATGACCCAATAGTTGTAACTTTGCACCTGTTGGCAACCTCCTCTCTCCTCCCCCATCAATGCTTGGAAGAGATCTTCTCTCCATGGAGATTACAGCACTACTCACAGCAGCCAAGACGGGATGACCTCAGTGCTCAAACTCAGATGAGTGGATGGAGAAAACGTGCTCCAGTTACACAATGGAATACTATTGAGCCGTAACAAAGAAGGGCATCTTGTCATGTAAATAACACGTACCAGCAGATGCTGTAATGGTTACATCGTTGGACTCCCACATAGTTGACCACGGTTCAAGTCCCAGACCCAGTGGCTTAAAACTCATGCTGGGCACAAGTGCATCCATGCTTGAGATCCTGAGAGGAGAATGGAGAAGAAGAGATTGTGGCATGGCCATGCCCCTGGGATAATTTTTCACTTTCTGTCTCTCTGTCTCTGTCTCTCTGGTGATCACATGTGCCCTGTAGCAAAAATCTCTCCATAAAAAGAAAAAGAAAAAAAAAAGATAACATGGATGAACCTGGAAGATTTATGTTGCGTGAAATGAGCCAGACAGAGAAAGACAAAGACTGAGTGATCTCATTCATACATGGAATCTAAAAAATGTTGATCTCATGAAAGTAGAGAGTAGATGGGGTCAGGGAACCAGCAGTTGGCATAATGGCTATGTCGCTGGACTCCCACGTAGTCGACCGCGGTTCGCGTCCCGGACCTGGTGGCTTAAAACTCACGCCAGGTGCATGTGTGTGCATGCCCAAGATCCCGAGAGGAGAATGGAGGAGAAGGGATTGAGGCGTGACCATCCCCCCTGGGGGGTGATTTCTCGCTTTCTGTCTCTATGTCTCTCTCTGTCTGTCTGGTGAGCGCACGCGCCCTATAGTGAAAACCTCTCCAAAAAAAACAAAAAAAAACAAAAACAAAAACAAAACAAAAGAAAGAGAGTAGAAGGGGCCAGTAGGTGGCATGGCGGCCAAGGCACTGGAGTCCCACATGGCCGACAGAGCTTGAGTTCCAGACCTGGTGGTGGCTTGCTTTCTCGCTTTCCCTCTCTCTGTCTCTCTCTGGCGAGTGTATGTGCCTTATAGAAATTTAATAATAATAATAATTAATGAAATTAAATAAAGATTTTTTTAAAGTAGAGAGTAGAGCAGAGAAAATTCTGAACCCCCAGACTTGTGCCTGGCACACAGAATCCATGACGTGCTAACTCCTCCTGGTTTGTGTGCTAACTCCTTCATAAGTCTGCGTGTGCATGCGTGTGCATGTGTGTGTGCATGTATGTGTGCATATGTGTGCATGTACGTGTGCATGTGTGTGTGCATGCACAGACACGCGCATTGGCAGACAGGAGTCACGTCAGCAGCTCTCCGAGTGTTTGGGGTCCCCCGGCCGGGACCCACCCAGTAAGAAGAGGCAGACAGTACGACAAGCATACATTTTCCCCAGCCTGGCTGGAGGGCAGCTGCCCGGATGCTGCTGACCTGGAGGCTGTAAGTAGAGGCAGCCCAAAGTGAAAAGGCCCTTCCTGCCATTCACAGATGCGGAACTTCAGAGAGGGAAGAAAGGCAGTGTCATGCAGTGCAGTGGGGAGAGTGCTGGCCTGGGACCCACGAGAGCTGGCCTGGGACCTCAGGTCTGTGTCCTCTCGGACCAGTCAGTTCTCTCTGACCCTCAGTCTCTTCATCTGTACCAGGAGGGCTCACCTCGATGACCTCCACAGCCCCTGCTGAAACTAACAACCCGTCCAAGTCTCAAAGGCCTCCTTTTCCATCCCACACCCCCACACACAATAGTTCTCTACCACCCTCGTGCGTTTTCTTTTTTTTTGGCGGGGGGGGGTTGAGAGATTTTTGTTATAGGGCATGTGTGCTCACTAGAGAGACAGAGAGAGACAGAAAGCAAAAGAAATCACTCCCCAGGGGGATGACCACACCACGATCCCTTCTCCTCTATTCTCTCAGGATTTGGGGCACTCATGCACACTCACTCAGCATGAGTTTTAAGCCACCAGGTGTAGGAATGGAACTGTGGTTGACTACATGAGAGTCCAGCAACGTAACCACTACGCCACCTGCTGGTCCTGACCCTTGTGCTTCTTAATCCCCCAATAGGAAAAGGTGTTTTCAGGCACCTTGTCTCTGGGAATACAAGCCAGTGACTAGCAGGCCCAGCAGGAGCCTGTCCACACTAGGTATGGGCCGTCTGGCCCTGGCCCCAGGAGCGCTCCAGACACCCACTGATCCTAGAAGGGGGGTGCTCCACATGGCCTGGGGTGGCAGTGAGCAATGGGAGCATCCTGGCACTTACCTGGCAAGGTGAGGCCCAGGGCAAGCAGCAGCCCAGCAAGTCTGGCAGGAACCATCTGCAGAAAGGCGAGAAGGGAGCTGAACATTGCAACCCAGAGAGACGGCTGCCAGCATGAGCTATTATCAGCATGGAAAGTGGAGAAAGCATTTTTTAAAGCAAGAGAAAAAATATATACTTAGATTTTAAGGTTAGATTATTTATTTCTTCCATGACTGGGAAAGACAGAGAGAAAGAGGCTGAGAGATAGGTCCCCCAGCAGGGTCATCACACCATGCTCCACTGCAGACTCAGCTGGCTCAGATCCCCGACATGCATGCACACGCACCCCCTACGCCCACATCCTGGTGTGCTCAGGGAGGCCACAGGATGCAAACCCAGGGCCTTTCCAAGTAGGTCCAGTGCACCACCACCGTGTGCCACTCGGCCCCAAGATCAATACTCTTTGATCCCCAAGCCAGCAGATGGCATATTGGTTATATCACTGGACACCCACATGGTTGACCGTGGTTCAAGTTCCAGACCCGGTGACTTGAAACTCATGCCCGGCACATGTGCATGCGTGCCCAAGATCCCGGGAGAAAAACAGAGGAAAAGAAGTTGTAGCGTGGCCATCCCCCCAGGGGGTGATTTCTCACTTTCCCTCTTCCTGTCTCTGTCTGTCTCTCTCTCTCTCTCCAGTGAGCACACACACCCTAAAAACATAATAATAATAATACTCATTGATTCCCATCTCCCCTTTGAACATGGGCTGTGGGGCCCCACATCGAAAAGTCCCTGACCAATGCCAGGCCTAAGAGTAACAATCTCCGTGGGTAGAATAGAAAGGAATGCCCAGGTGCCCTTTCCTGACAGTAGTTCCAGGGCCCAGACAGGGAGGAAAGCTCTGCCTTCCTATCTCCATCACCCAGGCCAGCTAGCCCCTCTCATGTCCCTGCACCCCTGCAGCAACCCAGGGCTGAGGTAGACCTAACTTCTTCCTGTCTCCTTTTCCTGCCTCTTCATCCGTCCACACCTGGCAGCAAACTGAGGAGTGGGAGCTATCTGCACTTTCGTTTCGCCCCCAATTTCACTTTTCACCTTTAGGTCACCCCCATACCAGGAGGGCCTCCAGACCAAAGGCCACCTCTCACATGTCCACCTCCGGCACCCAGCCCTGCGTCTACCACCCGGGACATGCTCAGTACCTGGTTGCTTAGTTGATCTGGTAAGTGGAAGGGACTCTAGCAGTCCAGGGCCCAGAGAAGCCCCCTCCTGGGTGGCCCCAAGAGAAGGACAATCTATTCTGGCAGGCAGAGCACACCCCAAGTCCCTTAAGACCCCTGCCCACCCCCTCGTCTCTGGAAAAGGCTGTTAAATGAAGTGCAGAATCTGTCACCTGGGTCTCACTAGGGGTCTCTCCTCACCCACCTAATGTCCCAGCCAGCCACGCAAAGAAGGGATAACCCGAGCTATACTACACCGTGTCTGTGGAAGGGCCGCGTTGATGTCAGATATGGACAAACCCTGGTCTCAAAGCAGGTGCCCTCTCCCACTCCCTCCCAACACACAGGCACAGGCCACTCCCGGGGGTACCTAGGTGAGGGAAAGCCCGTTCCAGTCTCATCTGAGTGAGATACAAGCAGGGAGCTGTAGCACTGTCCTTGGCTTGGACTCACCCCTTCAGACAAAACCCTTCTAGTGCAGGGATGGGGACCCCAGCTCCCCGAGGGAAATTACTCCAGCATCTCCCTCCCAACAGAGCCAACCCTTTGTCCAAAACACCATACCTTTCCCCGTGGGAGGCAGCCTTTGCACAGTGGCGCCTCCACTCCTAGGCCATGCTCCCTGCGACAGACCGCTGAGGCTGGTCCGCTAGGCTCTGGCCTGGCCTGTGTTAAGTAGCTAGGGCCTGCAGAGTCCCCAGTGCCAGGGGAGATAAAGCCCAAGTTATGACGTCCCAGCCTCCGCCCCCCCCTTCCCCACCACAATACCTCCCCCCTCCCCCCCCAAAATGGCTGGCCCCTGCCACAACAGAGGCTTGACCTCCTCCTAATTACCAAAAGGAAACAATGAAAGGAAATAGTATTAGAAATATCTACAAGCTGATAAAGCTTTGAAGAGTTTGGAGGGAGACCTGCTGGCAGCTGCCTTAATGAGCTGCCTCACCCCTGCTCCCATGCCCCACACTCCACACCCCAACCCCGGTCCTCGGTCCTCTCCCGCCCCATTTAGATGGGGAATGGCCAGGGATGCTGGTTCTCTCATCCCGTGCGCGATTCAGGCCAGGAAGGGATCCGGACTACATCAACATGACTTCTGGATCCGCTTCCAGGGCTGGCCTCCAGGGACATTGGGAAAACACTTCAACCTGAGCCAGCTGAGCTGCCATGTGTGGGGGAAGGAGAACACAAACACTGCCTGCCACACTAGGTAAGGGCGCCCCGGCCCCGGCCCTGGCCCCGGCCCCGGCCCCGGCAAAAACAGTCAATCTGGGTCCTGGCCAGAGTTGACGAGATGGCTTAATGAAAAAGCTGCTGAAGCTGAGTGCAAAAAGTACGCGTCTACTTAAACACACAAGCTTCTTCCCGGTAACAGATACAAAGAAAGGGCTCTTGAAGGTAAATTTTAAAATTGCACATTTTAAAACACTTGAGAAAACATAGTGTCCTAAGCAAGAGTAAGTAGTAGCAACGAAAAGCAGGAATCTCTCCCCTAAGAGCCCTAGATAATAAAATGATCTGACAGAGATGGAAAGATACGTGTTTCAAATTACAATAGATTGGAAAAGCAGGAATTTAAAACTATAAAAAGGGCCAGCCTGGTGGCATAGTGGTTAAGGAGGCTGGATCCCAAACGGCTGACTGCCCAGTCGGAGTTCCGAACTCCGTAGCTTGGAAAACACACTTGTTGGGTGTGTGTGCCCAAAGTCCTAGGAGGAGAATGGGAGAGAAGGGATTGCAGCCTGGCTGTCCCCTGCGAGGTGCTTTCTCACTTTCCCTCTCTGTTTCTGTCTCTGTCCAATGAGCACACACATCTTACAGCAAATTAAAATAAATAAGATCTCATGAAAAAAAAAAAAGGCTTGAAAAAGAACTTTTAGAGATGAACATAAATAATAAGATAATTGGGGGAAAAAAACCTCAAATGCAGATATTTCTAAAGAGAAATCTGCTGGGAAAGAGACTGAGAAGCTTGATCCCACATGGCAACCGAGGTTCGAAACCCCAGCTCAGTCCATCTGCAACATGACCTGTGCCCACGCTCTGGCAGATCTGGAGAGCTAGAGGACTAAAGGAAGGGGATCCCGTGGCCAGACCCTGTGCAGGGACAGGCTGCTCCTGTCTCTCTGTCTCTCACTCTCACACGCATGCACATACATTCGATCTTGAATAGAGAAGGAAGAAAGAAAAAAGTAGGGGGTGGAAAATGAGAGAAGTCTTAAGAAACATGACGGAATGAGGAGATCCCGAGAGAAAGGGTGAGGAAGAGCCATTGGCGTGGAATTTTAAGTGCAGCACCTTAATCTGAGTGCCCTGGAAACAGATCTCAGGGTTTCATCCGCTTGGGAGAGCCGGAAACCCCAGCAGGGGTGTGGGAATGTGATATGAGGAAAGGAAAGCAGCCAATAGAAGATGTTTATAGAGCCAGCCCAAGTAGGCCACGGAAGCACGATCCTGCTGGGGAGGTCTGAGGACAGTGCAAGGTACACAACGCAGCATGACCTGACTTCCATCAAGGGAGCAGGGGCATCTCTCCACCTACAGGGGGGCCATGGCCAGGGCTGCCCCTGGGGGCATTCACACTTCCACTCTCCTGCCTTCGGGCACAGAGTGCACGCTCCCAGAGTCTAGAACAAACAGGAAATATCAAGGGCTGAGAGACAGGGGAGGGAGACTGTAGGATCTGGTCTACCTACTCGAATGATCTATCCGAGTTAAGCGAGTGTAGAGAGAGCTTATTATTCAACTACTATCGGACAAAATGAAGTTTCAGGTAAAAGTCTTTATTAGCAATAAAGATGTTAAGGTAAAAAGAGAAACGATGTGACAGGAAGATATAATTAGAGATGTATGTGCACTTAGTCAAATTTAACTTGTATAAAGAAAAAAAATAATTCAATTAGAAAGCACGCAGGAAAGGCTGCAGGTCAAAGTCAATAACACCCATTTATGGAAAAAGCTAACGAAACCATCTTAGGAGCCTACGAAAAGAGCATACATTAGGGAAAGCTACCCACCCGTAAGAAAACGACGAGACCCTGGCATTTGATGTAAAATGGGCACATATGGAAGGAGCGAAGCAAGCCAGGCTATGAAAGAGAGATGTCCCCACGTAACATAAACTGAATGTCCACCTCTATGGCAGGAACTGAAAGAGAAAAGCATGGAGAAGAACTGTGGACACTAGGACCCTGTGGGAGGAGAGTGGGAAATGAGAAAAGGTGAGGCAAGGGGACCAAGGGGGAAAAGACAGAAGCAAACATGGAAGGGACACTAATACAGAAAATTATCTGTAGATGATAACGTGTATGATAATATCTTTAACGGGGCTAATATGCAGTGTATTCATGGTGGGGAAATCCATTTTATAAGCGTAATGATATATAGAGGTTGAATGTATAAATGTTTTAATTACCATAAATTTTTTTTTTATAAAATTAAAGAAGGGACTGTCCTTGGCCTGAGAAATAGTGAACATAGTAAAAGCAGGCCACTTTCCCTTTGAAAACCAGAACAAGACAAGGACGCCAATGTCATTACGGCTGGTTAACACTGGGTCAGACGCCTAGACCAGGGCAGTGGGAGAGCAGGAAACAGAAGGCATGTGGCTAAGAAAGGAAAAGCGAAATCGTTACTACTGGGAAATATGAATGTCTATGTAGAGAAATTCCAGAGAATCAAGTGAGAATTGAGCAGTTCACTAAAACAAGATTCTTTTTATAAAAAAGCTATTCTGTCCCTATATAACTCTAAAGTGCAATCTTTAAATTGGCCCTATTAGTGAAACAACAATTACTGGAAGCACCTACAAAAAATTAAATAGAGATCAGCAATTGGCATAATGGCTAAGCCACTCTACTCCCATGTTGTCAACTGTGGTTCGAGTCCCGGACCCAGTGGCTTAAATTCACGCCAGGCACATATGCGCGCATGCCCAAGATCCTAAGAGAAGACTGGAGAAGGGATTGTAGCATGGCCATCTCCCCTAGGGGGTGATTTCTTGCTTTCTGTCTCTGTGTCTCTCTGGAGTGTGCACACACCCTATAGCAGAAACCTCTCCAAAATAAATAAATAAATAAATAAATAAATAAATAAATAAATAAATAAATAAATAAATAAATAAATAAAATCTTTGCATAAAATTACACAGGAAATCACAAATTTTGTTGCAAGACACAGACGAAAACCAAATGGAAAGACAAGCCCTGCTCACACTTAATAAGTCACAATATTGTAAAGATGCCAAATATCTCAAATTCCTCTACATATGAAATGCAATTCCAATCAAAATCTAACAGTTTTTCATGAAATTAAAAGTAATCCTTAAAATTGCATGGAAAGCAAAAAATCAAGAATCACTAAGACGATTTCAAATTTTAAGTTATCAATAAGAAATAGACAGACAGGGACCAGCAGATGGCAGAATGGTTACATCGCTGAACTCCCACGTAGTCAACCACAGTTCCAGTCCCAGACCCAGCAGCTTAAAATTCACACCAGGTTCATGTGCATGCATGCCCAAAATCCCAAGAGGAGAATGGAGGAGAAGGGATTGTGACATGGCCATCCCCCTTGGAGGGTGATGTCTTATTTTCTGTCTCTTTCTGTCTCTCCAGTGAGTTCATATGCCCTATAGCACAAAAAGAGAGAGAGAGAGAGAGAGAGAGAGAGAGAGA